TTTAGGGATTTTTGCTTTATATTAAATTATTATATTTTTCTTTTACTAATTTTGAGGTTTTGTTTTATATATTATAATTTTAGCTAATTAATTATTTATATTATTATTAATATTATGCACATTTATAATATATTTTTTGTTGTTTTTTTTTGTTTTGTAAGAATTTTTAATAGTTTTTTTCTTTTGTTAAATTATTATTATATTATAGGTATGCTAGTTAAGTTAATTTATATTATTTATATTTTTTTATATTGTTATAATATGCATATAATATAATATAAATAAGTAAGTAATAACTATTATTGTTCTTAATAATTTCTTTAAATATTTGTTATTTTTTTTTTAATATTATTTTTATGTATATATGTATGTATATGTATTTTAAATTATATAAAATTATAATTACTTTTTTTTTATTTCAGGAAGTCTTCTACAAATAATATTAACAAACCAAATAAAAAAAAAAACAATTAATTTTTGTTCTCAATAAAAAATTTTAACGGTTGCTTGCCAGGAAGTATTAGATTTAAGCATAAAATTTTGTAGAAATTTTCAAATTTTTGTACACATTTTGCAGAAGAGCAACAACACTTTAGTAATCCTGTTGATTAGAACTGAGATCCGTTGTAAATTATAAGTTGAGATCCTGTTGTAAATTATATTTTGAACTTAATAATAATGCTATAATTATAAACTAGTTACAAATTATTTAATTAGTTGTTCTTGTTAGAAAGTAAAACTCATGATATATGTATAATTTCCAATTTTTTTTTTTTTGAAATCACTGGGTTTAAAGTTAAACTTTTTTTTAGTATTTGCTTTTAAGTATTTAATTATCATTTTTTTTAAATAAATTTGTTTATTATTATTTTTTTATTTACGGTTTGTGTTAGTAAATTAAAACCCTATAGATTGTTTTTTCCAAGTCCATGTGTTAGTTAATGTCGTTTAAAAGACCAGCTTTTAAAATAGAATATCTTTGTATATATAGTATAGTTAAAGGATCGGACAAAAGTTATTTGAAAATTGTGAAAATCACTGAGTATATATCATAAACTGACCAACATTTTGCTATTCCTAATTAGCATATTTTGTATATTGAAGATTATTCTAACATCAGCCAAATGTTTCATTCTATATATGTCTGTCAGTGGAAAGCTTCAAAATCTTTCAAAACTACTCAATTTTGGGCTTTTACTTCTCCTACTCAATGAGTTTTTAAGTTTTTTAATGCCAGATTTGAATTTTTTAGCTTCATTTCGCAAACGTCATAGGGTTTTACCTAGTCGCTATAGACCGACTAAGATTTCATTGTTTGTTTTATATATATATATATAAATATAAATTAGATAAAGTTACATTTTTGTTTGTTAAATATATAAGTACTCATTAAAAATATAATAAGTTTAAATAATTTACATAACAGTTATTTTCCTGGTTATTTTTTTTTTATATTAGGGACAAGGTTTTGAAGAAATTGTATTTTATTTTGTCTGTATATATTTATACTTAATATGTTCGTCTGTTCTTTATTAATCTTAGTTAATATTTGTATTATATTTAATTTTTTGTATAAACATTAACAATAACATTTTTTTAATTAAAAATTATAAACATACTTTAACTTAAAATAAAAGGAAAGAAAAAAATACAGTGAAAAAAATTCTTTAAAAATCGTAAATAATCTTGTGATGCACAAGGATCAAGCACATGGTAAACATTATTTTACAATTTTTTTTCAACTTTCTGAGAAATTTCTAGTTTTTTTAACTCATTCGAAAGGGAAATTTAACATCCTTGCCTTAGTTATTAATTAAAACCCATGATTGTTTTACCGTATTCCAAAATGGAACTTTTTCCTATTGATTTTTTTCACTGTATTACACCGTTTGACACTCAAAATTAGACACGAACCAGATGTTATAAGTCTTACACTGAAGATTAAATGAGGCAAAACTAAGCTCACAGTTTTTTTTATTTCGTGATGCTGTTTCCTTGTAAAAGGACTTCAAAGGAGCACATTTTTAAAAATTGGGTTAATATGGTTCTATCCTTAAAAATTTTGGCAGAGGGATTTACTTGTACATCAGTTATTTATGCAGAATATTGTCGTGATATTATTGTTTATAAGCGAATTTTGACCATCAAGTCATTTACTGAAGGGGAGACTTTTTTTCTTGGACCAGCACTTTCTTGGACCTGCTCATGCAGTGCATTGTGCTGGAACTAGGAAAGGGAGGGAGTATAGAGGGAGTAGTGTTTGTGAACATTTGATTTAAACCTTTTTACATCGAAAGTGACGGGGAAAACTTCTGCAGGAAGTTCGTGCCACATACGAACAGAGCGGCTGAAAAATGAATTTTCCCTATAATATGTTGTGCGGTACATTGAACAATCGACCACAAATGGGTATGTTCTTGATGACAGTCGTGTGTTGCGTAAAAATATACGGGTATAGGAAACGAGTTCCCTAATTTCAGAGGAACACATTCCATTGTAGTATCAATAGAATAGTGAAATACACCGCACGTTGAGACGGTGCTTCAGTGAATCAATAGAGTTGGATACCCTACTGTCACCGATAAGTACCTTCGCCCTCTCTTGTACGCGGTCGAGTAGCTCCAAAATAGACTTCGAAGCTTTGGACCATACATGGGAGTTGTATTCCATTTTCGGTCGGATATAAGTGGTGTAAATAGTAAGAAGATCAGATGGAGAGAAGTATGTCTTACACCGTTTCAAAAAACCGAGACACTGGGTATTTTCATGCCCAGAACATCAAGAGTTTCTGATTCCTTAATATTAACATCACCCATAAATATAGATGAACCAAAATTATCTGCGATACGTTTATGTGTTAAAAAACAATATTAAGTCTTGCGGGTGTTAAAATCGACTCTGTTAACACGACCCCATTCAGAGATTTTTATCAAGTCGTGTTTTAGTGATTTATTCATATTGCACCTCATTGCCCCAATCTCTAGAGGTCTTGGCCTATAATTGAATGAATAGGAAGTAGATAGAGTTGTAAGTTTGACATAGAAGGTCATTTATGAAGATAAGAAATAGGGTAGGAGAAAGAACGGAGCCTTGCGGTACCTCTGAATTAATCTTGAACTCGTTTGATGAGATCTCATCTATAACAACTCGTATAGTACGATCTCTGAGAAAGTTTGAAATCGAGTGAAGTTATTGGCGTGACATTAGCAATCTTCCAGCATGTAGGAAATTTCCCGGTATGGTATAGGATGATGAAAAGATTAGCTAATGGACGAAGAGCACTGCTTCAAGACCAGTGCCGGTATGCCATCAGGTCCAGGAGACTTATTTATGCTGAGATCCGCTAAAACACTTTTTTAAGGCACCTGTAGAGTGCGCACAAGGTTTACATGGACACACAGACGGACATACGGTAGGACGACCCAGAAAGTGATTCTGAGCCGATTGGTACACCTTAATGTGAGTGTAGGACCAATGTTTTTGGGTCATACAAACATCAGCACAAACTCATAATACCCTCCCCACTATAGTGGTGTATTGTATAATAATACAAATACGAACTTTGAACTCCTTTAAAAAGGACACAGGATCAGGAAATGGAAACCTGAAAACACAGTTTTTCTCCTTTAATATTATAGTTTCAGATTGATATCAAACGGTTAGTGTCTAATGAATTTTTTCTCTTTTTGTCGTACAGTGTTATAAGACTCAATCATTTGTAGCTTAAACTCTTGATCTTCTATAAATTTACAATTACAAAAACAACACAAACAAAAAAATTTACAAAATCAAATTGAAATTAAAAAATTTTTAATAATATTTAACATTTTTATATAGTTTTTTTTCTAGACATTTTTGTTTTTTTTTCTTGTGATGGTTTTAAAGTTTAAGGTTAGTTTTTTGTTTTTTTTTTTTAATTTATTTTTTATATTGTTTTGACTAAAATTTAACAACTTTGAAATTGGTTTTCAATATAGATAATCAATATTAATTTAAATTTTGTTTAAAATAGTTTTTTTGTCTTTTCTTTTATAATTATATAGAGAGATCTGTAAAGGAAAAGCTGTTAATATTTTTTTTAAATTTTACTTTACGTTTAAGACAAGTTTTATTTTATTTTTTTTTGCTAATAATATTTCAATGAAAAGTATACTGAAAATATTATATTGTCTTTTGAAATTTGTTTGGTTTTTTATATATATATTTTTTCAAAAAAATAAAAAAAGAAAATTTTCAAATTATAAAGTGAATGTAGTAAATTCTGGCGGCTTGGCTGGAAAATATTCAAACTTATTTTTTTGTTTTTTTGGAATACTCATAGATAAGTACAAATATTTTACAGTTTCTTCTTCTTCTTTTATTTTTTTTATATAATTTCTGTTGTATGTTGTAGTATCTTGTATATTTGATTGTATTTCGTTATTTTGTTTTAATTATTTTTTTTTTTAATGAAGGGTGGCCATCTTTTTTTTTAAACTTTTTTATGTTTTTTGTCATGTAATGCTAAATGTATGTACGTATGAGTAACATAGACTATGTAAATAATGTATATTTTATTTAAATTTAATTTTGTTATTAATAATTATAACTACTATAAGATGCTGGTACTATTTGTTGTTTCTTTTGTTTTGTTGTTCTTGTTCTTGTTGTTGTTTATTGATGACGGTTTTGATGTGTGATTTATATAGTTTGCTGTTTTGTTGTATTGAACATTTTGTCGTGAAACGAACGAGACAAACGAAATGAAAAAATAAATTGATTGATATCCTTAAATTGTAAGAAAGTAAGTTGTTTATTTATGTATGTATGTATGTATGTATGTATGTGTAAATGTTGATATATATATATATTATTATGCGTATAAAATTTGTGAAATAACAAACCTTTTCTCTTGTTGTCTTTAATGTAATCTTGCTTACTTTTTTATAATTAACTCTTTTTAAGTAATGATATCAATCAATTTTTTTTCTCATTTATTCTCTCTACTCAGCTCCACTTTGTTTTTTTTTTTTTGCATTTCCCATGAATATTTGTGTGGTTTGTTTTTGCTGTTGTTGTTCTTGTTGTTGTTGTTAGTTTAGTTTATTTAAAACTTCTTACTTCATATTTTTAAGAATTTCATCGGTTTCCTCGGGATCTTTCAGAGTATGCCACTGTGCAATAGGTCGTCGTGGTGAGGCCAACATATCGGACCAATGTCGCAATTCAGTGCCGGTAGCCATACAGCCAAGTATACAACGTCCTATGGGCTCAGAAGTACCGATACGATCATAATCCACGACAGTGATAACCAAACAGATTTTCTTTTTGTAAAAAATTAAATATACAGAGCAAAATGTTAGTTATCAAAGTTTATGGATTAGTTTAGCAAAATAATATAAATCAGTATTTTTTTTTTATATATTTCTGTTGTAGATTTGATTTCTGTTGAACGTTTATTTCACTGGTTTAAGAGTGTTGTAGTGGTTCTGGTTTTATATATATATTGAAGAGTTGTCTGTTGAATATAGTTACATTTATATATAAAGTTATTTATTGAAGGTTAAGTTTTTCTAATTCCTCTGTGGTGTTTAAAAAAATAAATATATATAGAGGTAAATAAATATATATTTATGTACATACATACTCGGGATTTGGTGCCAAGTTTTTTTATATAATAACACTTAATAAAATTAAAATATATTGGTTTATATAAAAACTAAAATAAAATTGAAATGTGTAATGAGAAATATCAAGTGTTTTAAAAGTGATATAGTTTTCAACAATATTATCATTCGCCTGGGTTATAAAGAACTCATCGGACTGTCAATTCTCCCAATATAGCCCTTATAGCAACGATTTTAGTAAATCCCTAAATTAGAAAAATTTTATTCCGTGGAGATCTCTTGCGGAGAAGAGTATATAATCAGATCCCTTTCTAAGTTGTGGGAAGGAAAAGGATATACATATATATCTGAACATATCCAGAAAATATGTATTAAGATGAAAAATAGAACATCTTAATAGATTGACTAGCAAAAACTTATGATATCGTTCCCAGATCAATGAAAACACTACACAAGAGAATTTACAAAGCTGTTTACTTGTCATTTTATTGTGTGTATTTAAGATGGACTTGAGGTTATTTCTGAAGGAACTGAATGAAAACCGATTGTGCTGGGTATCGTGCCAAGAGGGCAAAGATTCAACACTTAACATTCTGAGATGATACGATATAGGAAGAACTCATTAGTTGGAATAAGGAGACAGTAAGACCAATCACGTTATTCGGAAAGAGCGTTCGGATATGTTGTGATTAAACCACGAGATTTTGCGAAATGCCCAGATATTAGACAAGACATTACTGTCCACTAAGGTTTAACCAACTGGTTGACTCATTTATCACGAATGTACTCTTTGTCATGCAGAGCGAAGCATTTTAGTGAACCCAACTCAATCGCCATTTTACTATTCTCAAGTAATGTAGAAAGTAGACCATTGCTTCATATAATGCACTATCAATTTAACCATTGTAATTGATGTAATGTGGGGTTACTAAAGGAGTCAAGTGACTTACACTTAAGAAGAATCTTCCCCCATTATGGTGTTATTGCAATCCCGAGTTAATAACCGGGACTATAAAAATTTCACTCCACCTATCATTTCACTCCTTCGCATTCCTTGGAATCATTAGTCTTGTGGTTGAAACATAGAACCTAACTTATGTGATACCAAGGGAAACGGTATCAGCAGGTCAATGTTTTGGAATTTTATTGGAGAGGTTTATTCGGGGTGTAAACATAATTTTGGTTTAAGTTCGTTGCTGTTGCCGAAAAAGACAACAGATACCAATCAGAGGAGTGACTATAGAGATAAATGAGTAGTTTTCAAAATCATAATATATCGAAAGAATCTAGAGGTAATCGGACCTACATACCTCAGCCGTATATCTAGAATGAGTAAGTCGAGTGTTTTTTACGTATGTATATGAATGTGTCCGATTAATAAGAGGTATGTAGGGTTGAATACTGTGAAAACACATTGTGGACTCGTACTATGGTCTACCGATTACGTTTTTATTGCCGAATCAGCAGAGGCCCTTCTATATGTGTGGATGTAAACGGAAAACGGTACCAGCAGGGATGAATGTTGGACCCAAATTAAGGGAAATTCGGTGCTTTTGCCGAAGAAGTTAACAGATACCACTTCTATCTGCGTGTTCGTAAACGGAAGTTATGTTTTCCACCCCGGAAGACACGCAATGGGACAACGAAGGTCAGAAATTAGATAGTGCTTGTTCATGGTATTTCGTTGCTATGTACGAAAATTGTTTTGTGCCATGCTGAAATAATATTTTTGGACATAATTGGATGGACTGAACGCCAGTGTTATGTCGGCTCAGTATTGAAGATCTTAAAGAGAAATTGTTCGGATAGAATGTTCATGTTATTAGAGGTTCTTGCGTTTATACATAATTGGATGGATTGAACGCCAGTGTTATATCGGCTCAGTATTGAAGATCTTAAAGAGAAATTGTTCGGATAGAATGTTCATGTTATTAGTGTTTCTTGCGTTTATACTTAAGTTATAGGATTATGTTAATAACGTTATCTATACTAAGATACAATTCTCAATAGATTGACCTTTGCAAACATGAACACTATTAGAAATCGAATTTTCGGCCTTAATGTCAGAGTTTACCCTGTATTTTGATGTTGGTTAAACGAACCAGAGTTGTATTGAAGATCTTTATTTATAATCAGGTGTTACCCCGAATTTTGATTTAAAGACCCTTTACTAACTCCCGTAACATGAATATACATTGATTTCTATGTAGAGAAAGCTATATTAGACGAAGATTGTGAAATATTAAGCCCGATTTAGGAAAGTTAACGTAGCTGTATAAAAGTGGTGACCGAGCTTAGCATTAAGGAACTTCTTATGTAATTTCTTTAATTTCGATAATTCACAATAAAAAATGTTTTATAAAAGCAGTACTTGCCATATTTCCCGACATTTGTATTAATTTTATGTTAACATGTCTTCCGAGCTCGATAACTCCTTAAGCCATCCTTTACCTTTTGACATGATTTGTCAAAATTTTGTCTAGAAGAGTACGGATGGGATCGTCTAAACACAATATGCAATGAAACCATCACACATTGAGAGAAAATACGGATGGAAAATCTGACAGTCGTATGGCTTTCTTCATTTTTTGAAATGATTCAAAAAACAAGCAAATCGCTTTAGATTAGGGATGTATTTTTATGTAAACATATACAAAAAAGTGAAACAGCTGTTTTCAACTTACTTTGTTATTGTTTTATACCAATCGTTTATTCTCTGTTTTGCCATAGAATTTCATTTTACTTTTTCATTAAACTTTTCGTACGTAAAGTGTGATCGTGTAAAGGGCTCTTTAGAATATCAGGACGGACGAATAAGATCTTACGTCTTCACAACTTACTTGTATCACTTACAATTTTAACACTTGATTTCACTCAAAATAATAACTTAAAAATTGCATGAAATTTAAAAAAAAACTGTGTAAAAGAAAATCAAAATTAAAAGAAAATGTTGTAAGAAAAATAAAAGCTAATCAACTACTTAAGGGCGTTTCTTAAATACAGCCGCATACATTTACATAATTATATATAATGTTGATTGGTATTTATTATTAAATAGATAAATTATTAAATAAATATTTACTCTAAGTGAAAGTGAGTATAATTTAGAGTAATGATTAGTGGGGATTGGTAATTTTTTTTATTAATTTTCTAGACAATATGAATCTTGAATTAAAACGGTGTATATGTATAAGGTGGCAAGTGTTAGGTTTTAGCAGTGAAGTGTTATAAAATTTGGAAAGATTAACTTTAACATGCAGATTATACAAATTGTGTTTTGTTTTGACAACTTATGAGATTTATAAGGTTTATATAGTGTTTATAAGTTTGGATTTGAAGTGTTTATAAGGAAACATATGAGCTGAGTTGAGTGTGTATGTTTTGAATTGTTAAGGAGTAATAAATTTGATGTATTTTTGAGCGAGATAGAGATAGATTTTTTTTCAATAAAATGAACAATTTTCTTTAACTTCTTTTTTTTTAAAAGTTTTTGAAAAATATTTTAATTAATAATGAATTTTAGTTTTTAACTTATAACGGATTTTTTGGCGGATTGTGAGAGGGGGAGGGGCGAAGAAAAGAATAATGTTCATTAAATACTGGTAAACGAAAATGTATAATATTCAATCCTAAATTTCAATTTAAGTTGTTTTGTTTCTCTATACCCTAAAAGGTTAAAACAGGTTCAAAGCCTACTATTTATATAAGGTATATAGTAACTGTATAATAGTATAAAGACTTTTCCAAAATCACCATTCCTTACAAACTTGACAGGGTTCGGAACGTTTCAAATATTGGTGAAGGTGTTACGTTTCATTGTTGTGTTTTTCATCTTTTGCGTTTTTATTTTTATTTCTTTGGAATTTGGTGTTGTTTTTGTTGCATGTTTTTTTTTATAAGTATCAAATCAGAAGACAGTGTCAAAACAACGAACCCTAGGGCTTGTTAATTTGAAGACGCTGTAGCAAGCTTTCCTGGTCCAAAAGACCAAAAAAGTTCTTACTAATTTGCTCGTTAAATTATTTCTGAAGTATTTTATTACTCTTTGTTAAATTTGTGTTTTTTTTTGGTTTCTTTTTTTTTGAGTAACTTCAAAACTAAGTAAACGAGTGTTAATTGCATGTTAAGTGTTTATTTGTTGTAATTGTTGTTGGTTAAAGGAGTTTGTAATAGTTGGTTGAATTTTTATTCAGTGTGTTGCTTAAAATAGTGTTGCATTTTAAAGCAAAATTTGTTGAATTCGTTAGTTTTTTTTTTTGGTTTCTTTGTTTGTACAAACTAAATGGTGTAGTGTTTTTTCATTTACTACAATACAATATTAATAATGCTTTAATTATTTATTGCGGGGGCAGGTTTAAATTGTATTTTATACTATTTTTGTAATTTTTAAATTTTGTTTTTTTTTTTGTAACTGCAAACTAAGTTTTGAAGTATATTTATATAAATCATAAAAAAAACCTTTGCTTTATTCAATTGTTTTTCTTTTTTTTTTTTTAATGAAAATTTTGCAAATAATAAACACAAAAGTTTGTTAAACATAAAAGCACATCAATCAATATTTTGTTTGTAACTACTTTAATAATTTGTTTTATTCAAACACAAAAAAACACAACGTGTAATTGTTATAATTAAATTAAAACATTTAAAACTGAATAGTTGTTTACACAAATTTACAGTATTTCATATTGTTATCAAACGAAATTAAAACGGAATTCATTAAAAGTAGTATTGTGTGTTGAAAATATTACCAAATGTTTGTGTAGAAGATTTTTTTTTATAAAAACCATAAAAAAGTAATTTCTTTTTTAAAATTCAAGTTTGTTTCAAGTTGATGAAATGAATGGAAGTAAAAAAGTTACGGATTTTTCCAGAATCAACTTCTTAATTATTTCTAGGTGATAGTTAGTTTTGGGTACAGATTTTACAACAACAAAAGACCTAGCGAAATCATTCTGATTTTTTGGTTGTATAGATTGAAGACACTATTCCATAGTAGATCTGTTAGTCTACATAATATGCTTTTCGATCAAATGCTTTTCGAATTTAGTTCCAAATTAACTTTGCTACTTTACATAGGTAAATATTATTCCACCTATTTCTACCCTTTTGAAGAAAGAATCTGAAGATAGCATTTGATATTTAACATTACTATGTATATTAGTATTAGATCCAACCTGTAGCTGTGAGATGCCTTTAAGTCTATACCTAGATAATTCAACAAGGTTGGATATAGTGTAGCTATAAAGAAATCAATTTTTATTGGTGACTAGGTAAGGGCATTAAAAAATAAGGTGGAAGAACATTTGATATGTTTGGATATGGCTGGTAGTTCACTGCGCGCGAAGAGAAAAGTACAGTCGAAGAGACCCCGTTTTGACCGGATCCCTCAACTCGTCAGTTGTAGTATTGCATAGTATTGGATCCAGCCTGTGGCAGTGAGAAATCTCAGAATATCATTAAGCTTAGATTCAGGTATCTCACCAAGGTTTGATATGAAGTTACTGCCATGGAAACTGTTTTTTTAATGGATATAGCAGGGATTTAGATGGAAGATCTTTTCTTCCTTTTCCCTGTCTTTGCAACTGCGACAGTGTTCATTGAACGGTAGCCCAAGCCGACTTGCATGTCTGCCTAGCACACAGTATCCTCGTTATATCGCGTCTACTTCGGTTTATAAGGTGTCTCGTGCGTTGCTCATTGAAGGAGGGCCACAATATTTTCACAGAAGACACCAGAACTAGCACCATATGTCATTTTAGAAACATATGTAAAGATTCTGGCGGTATATTCGCTCGGCTCCTGAAAGGAACTCTGACTTGGAAATCTCTATCAAAATCCGTGTGTGGGGTAATATAGTCGGACGGTTGGTTCAAGATTGGAGGTAATTGGCTTAAAGTCTTAGCGTGTCCATATGTTCTTGATTTCCAACTTCCGAATGAGTTCGCAGCGATGCAAGCAGATATGGCATGTTGAAGCTTGGAATCTTGGTCTTTGTTCTGAATAGTACCAGTTCCGTCTTGCTTGGGTTTACTCCTGATTGGATATACCCCGACTATTATGTTTTAGTGAGCTTTTTATCGAAAAAGTTCCACATTACCGTGACCACTCTGTATGTGTCAAGGTTATTCCACCTGTTTCCACCCTTTTGGAGATATTACTTTTAATAGAACTGTTTTTGTTGCAACTGAATTCTTTGCACAGAGACATTAAGTTGATGTTAGACAGACGATCCCTCCCTGGCATATCATTGTTATATTTTCTAACCCATAGGGTTCATTGAGTCACTTATGGATGGTAGTAAAAAGATATGATATTTCTTCCCAATTTCTATCCATCTGTTGTAACATTTAAGTCACTTTCGAATTTTCATCATCTTGTTGTGTACAATTTAGTCACTTCTGAATGACAGTTGAAAGATAGTACATATTTAGAAAGCTATTGGGTGTATATTAGCAGTCACCTCGAGTGGCCTTTTATAAGACAGTTCCTCGAGAAATATTTCTCCCGATGGAAGATCAGAATAACAATATTTCGTTTATTTTAATCATTTTGTTGTGTACAACTTTTTAACTTCTGGATGATAGTTGGAAGATAGTAAGTATTTAGAAAACTACTGTATATTAGCAGAAGATCAGAATAATAATATTTCGGTTATTTTAATCATTTTGTTGTATACAACTTAGTAACTTCTGGATGATAGTTGGAAGATTGTATATACAGTAGTTTTCCGATTTAACGAACATTCGTTTCTACGAACATCGCCTTTAGCGAACTATCAATATTTTTACATTGAGTACCTTACATAACGAACAAAAAATATGTTTTGTACTCAGTTTAACGAACAAATATAAATAAAATAATTTAAATTAGAGTTAAATTAACAAAAATAACTAAAAATCATGTCAGAAAAGCATCGACGTTATTACTTTTCCATTGCTTTCGAATATGGATTTCGAGAGTTGATTTTTTCTAATTTAGTAAAATGAATATTCTAGATAATCTGAGATTTTTTTATTAAAGATTTATACAAAAATATGAGATAATCAAATCCACAATCCTTAATGTCGCAAAAACTAATGTCGATCGAATTAGAAAATCGAAACAAAAAATGTTTAGAGAGGCCAAAGTATACTTTTCTAGAAGCTCGTGCTCAACCCGAATTTGGCCTCAGAATTTGAAATCATAGAAATTGGTGTTCAAAATAAAGACTTAGCCAATCGTATACCTTAACATTTCGCTTTTATTTTTCGCCAAACTAACAAGTCCTCACTGTGACCATAATTTTTTCCAATTCTAAGAATTGGAAACGATATGTTATAGAATAAACAATATAAATAGTTTTTCTTTTGGAAAAAGGATATTTACAGGAATAGCTGTGAAATAAAGGAAAAATATTTCAAAAAACTTTGGAATCAGATATCTCAAAGAATGAAAACGATGAAACTGTGAAACAATGAAACGCTTTAATAACTTTACATTAATCTATTTCCTAAGGAATTCTGAGGCCAGGTTCAGATTCATCGCAATTCCAGCCATTGGGTTTAAACTTCTTTAAGAATTATGTCGTCCGAGTGCTTTTCCAGAACGTAGATTAGTTATACGAAATAAACTGAGTTTTTTCAAATTTCTTTATTGTTTTTACATTGTGATATAAATTGCTAGTTTTTCATAAAATTCTTATAAAATATTGTCTAAAGAAATTATATTTCCTGGAACATATTTTTATAAATTAGATTTTATGTAATTTTAATTATTTATGTACCCAAAAGACACTTTCGAGTTAGTACTGCATATAACGAACTTTTCGATTTAACGAACAGGCCTGACAACATATAGGTTCGTTAAATCGAAAAACTACTGTATTTAGGAAACTATTGGGTGTATTTAAGCAGTCACTTCACTCATAGAGGACTATTCCACTAAAAATAGTTCTCCCGACAGAAGATCAGAATAATAGTATTTCGACTATTAAATGTACGATCAATTTGATCGCCTTATCGGATGGAAGATACTTCCGACTGGGTACCACTATAATATTCTCCCGACGAAAGATCAGAATAATAATATTTCGGCTATCCTAACCATCTTGTTATCTATAACTTAGTAACTTCTGGAAGACAGTTGGAAGATTTAAATATTTAGAAGACTGTTGGGTGTCTTTAGGTAGACACTTCGAAGTGTCCTTTAGGGGACCCTTCCACGAAAAACTGTTTATTGAAAACTGCTCAATGAAGTTCATCTCAACTTTTTTTAATAATAGATAAACTGCTGGCAAAATACTAATTGTTCATTTAAAGAGCCTATGCAAACTGTTGAAGAGATCGAGGTACTTAGTCAGAAGCCTATCGGTTGCACAAAATTTTCTAGTTCTAAATAATTGACGTTTAAAGATCTTAAACATGCTTTAAGACTCATAATTTATCATAAAATCTTTCTTAAAAAATTACATTTGGCTTAATTCAACACACATTACTGAAATATTTAAACAAAATATAAACAATTATAAACAAATACATATACAAATAAAATATTCATATTTTTTTTCATAATTTCATTGATAAAACACAACATTTAAACATCAATTAAAGGAATTTGAATTTGTCTTGTGGATCAATGATAAAAATAGGTTTCTTGAATAGATTATTAAGTCTCAACTTCCACATTCAAAAATTATATATTTTATATTGGATAAGAGTACATAGAAAAGTCGGTCAGATAATAATATATATATAAAGATATATAAAAAAACACTGGAGTCTAAACAAAGACAACAATAACAAATTGTGTGTAAAAAAAGAGGGGGGGATTGAAAAAGTCTTTAGTAAGTAGTAAAAAGTAGTAGTTAGTAGTAATAACGTTAACGTAACAAAAGTAAAAGGGCGTAGTAGTAGTAGTGTCGTTGCTAGTAATAGTAGTTTGTAGGTTAGTAGTAGTAGTAGATAGTATTATTCTTTTTTGTTTTTGTATTTTTTTTTGGTAAATAGGATAGTATAATACATTCTCGCATACTTGTATTTGTTCAAATGGTACTTCAAATGAGAACGACTCATTATAATAGGGGTTGAGGGTGCATTTTTTGATACTTGTCTTCTTCTTTTTCAAACGTTTTCCATTTTGCATAATGGCAATTTTCACATATGGATCTATAAAAGAAAATAGAAATAAATAAAAAAGAAAGAAGAATAATAAATAATAAAATTCTCCATATTTTTTTCATATCTTTTCTTGTAACACTTATTTTTTTTTCTTTTTTAAACAAATTGGTTATTTTTATATAATAATTTTTTTCTTGTAAGTTAAATACGTTTAAAATATAAACATTGAACTTTTTTTTATATATTTTTTTTTCGATTATATGGATAGTAATAATAGTAAATTTTATAACTCAAATTAAGGAGTACAAAAAAAACTATAAAAAATAAAAATCACACTTTAAACCAAAATATTTAAACGGGAATATAAGTTTTTTTTATTTTCATTTCATAACAAATATATTAAAAATATTTGTTGCAATTATTTCCTTTTTTTTCGTTTGATTGTTTTGTTTGTAAAAGCCTAGAAGAACTTATTTATAGGGCGATATTTTTTGAGGCAACTCTCGTGTGGGAGGGAGAGACAAAATGTGTTAAATAAAATAACTGAAAATGTCTGAATGATTTAAAACTTGTAACTGAAAATGTAAATAACAAGCAATAAAAAGCTACTGGCTACTTTGTCTATTACAAAGTATTATTTGCAAGCAAAATGTTAAATATTTTATATACATTCAAACTTAAAATGAAATTGTTGTTTATTTCGAAACAAAAAAATATATCACATAACACTTGAGAGTTGCCCTCAAAAAATATCTATCATTTGATTTGATTTTTTTTGGTTTTAATGAAAAATTATGTAAAAATAGTATAAAAAATCTTAGGCTTTAGTTAAGAAAGATATTTAATAAATTAGCTTGTTGTATGATTCAAGTTTAATCATCATTAGCATCATTTAAAAGCTTTATTATTTTGTTTTATTTTTTTTTAATTATTAATATTATAAAAGTTAAGGTTCAAAAATGTTTTTTTTTTGTATTTAAAGAAAAATTTTTTAAGAGATATAAATTAAAATAAAATTTAAGTTAAAAAAAGTATAATTTTTTTAGCATAAAAATACAGAAGTTATAAAGAAAAGCCATAATAGATGTAAAGCTGTTTTTAATAAAATACCCAATATTATTGTTTTAATCGTTTTTTAATTATTATTAAAAAGCTGTTTAAACTGCAGTTAGACAAAACTATTGCGATTTCTGGCAACCGCCACTTCTTAACGCACGTTTTCCAACAACATGGAATAAGTAATATACACGCCTGGTACCAATTGACACCAAACTATTTATAATTTTTCAATAACATCCCTTGTCAAAGTATATACATACGTACGCCAACGCTGACTATTGACAAACAATCCGTTGCCAATAGTGAACTTACCACGTTTGTTAACATTTAGACAACTGATGTGTATAAAATTTAGATTTCGACAACGAATTGTTGCAATGTTAACCTAATTATAATTAAAAAGCTGTTTAAACTGCAGTTGGACAAAACTATAGCGACTTCTGGCAACCGCCACTTCTTAGCCCTTATAATAGGGATTGAGAGTGCAGAGTACACATTTTCCAATAACATAAAACTTTTCAAATAATTTTGATCTTCTACACAGAGGGAAAAAGTAATATACACGCCTGGTACCAAATTGACACCAAACTGTTTATAATTTTTCAATAACATCCGTTGTCAAAGTATAAACATACATTTCAATAACATCCGTTGTCAAAGTATATATACATTTCCTTTTCCCTCTGTGTAGAAGTATACTTTTAAGTCACTTCTGTATGACAATTTAAAGATTAATATACAATTTTCAAAATTCCGAAGGAAGTATACTTTCAATTCACTTCTGGATGATAGTTAGTAGAGACTATACATTTTACAAAAACAATATACATTCATTTCAGATTTGCATCATCTTATTGTGTACGTATAAGAGACGTCTTAATGACATTTAGACAGTCTCTTATTATTGTTATTATTTGGAAGCATACTTTCAATCCAATTCTAGATGATAGTAAGAAGAGAGTAAAAATATTACAAAAACAAAGTACATTGCTTCGGCACATGTTTACGTTTAAGTCACTTCTGGATGACAGTTGGAAGATTAAACACATTTTGAAAACGTTTTGGAGACTTTTAGCAGTCATTTCGAAGTGTCTCATAGAGAACGCTTTCACTAGAAACTGTTCTCCCGACAGAAGATCAGTATAATAATATCTTGGCTATTAAATTTTGAGAACAATTTGATCGCCTTAATGGGTGATCATTAACTATCGCTTGTAGATCTATTGAATACATAATTAAACATCAAAAAGGAACGAAGAGAGAAAGATTGAACTGTTGGTTGTCTTTAAAGTGTCTCAAAGAGGCGTTTTTAACTAGAAATAGTTCTTCCCGACGGAAAATCAAAATAGTAATGTCTCGGCTATTAAATGATCGAACAATTTGATCGCTTTAATGGATGGAAGGTACTTCCAACCGATTACTGCGATATGAAATATTTTTAGATATATTACTAATTGATGCTCACGCGATCACTCGTTGTTATTTACGATCGTGTGTACATCAATTTAACACATAGCAACGAAGTACCGAAGAGCGAAATATAGTACTGTTAGTTGTCTTTAAGAAGTCACTTCTAGGTGTCTCATTGAGGACACATATATAGTTAAACCTGATTAGTAGAAATTTAAAAATTCTAATTAAATGAATTTTACGATTAAGTGTTTCTAAACGAAAACGCATACTAAGATGAAAATGTCTATAGCGATACTGAAATTAATTAATTAATTACACATGAAACGAACCGATCGCGTTTCAAAATAATATTGGATATAATAAATTATATACAAATTAATCATAAAAAAAATTAAATAAATAACAAAAATACGACATTTATCAGAGTAAATAAATTGAAACATTTACCATAAATTAATAAATAATTAAATATAAAATGAAACCAAACAATTATTTACTTATTATTGACAACACAAAACATTGCAAAAAAATTATAGTATATAAAGAAATTTCACAATATTTCGGTTTCCAATTTTATTACCAGACAATCCACCAACGTCCATCTTTTTCAAGTTTTTAGCTTCCAATATGACAACGGTTAATTTGCCAGCGGTCGGTACATAACGTAATGAGAAACAAATATCGCCAAGCTTTTCCTAAATTTGTGAAAATAGTTTTTAAAAAAATAGGAAGAAACAGAAAGTAAATAAATTAATTAATAAAAAATATTTAATTTCAAAATTGAGACATAAATAAACACAAATTATATTGTATTTTATTTTATAAATATATTTTTGAAAACATTTATTTGTTACATTGAAACTACAACCATATTGTTTTTAATTATTTTAAAATTGTAAAATACATACATTTAATTATACAATATTTTACAATTTTTCTTTTGGCTGTGTGCGAATTATACTAATAATTGCTAATTGTTTTTTATTTTATTATTATATAAACACACAAAATCTTTGTACTTTGTTACGTTAAATTTAAAAAAAAAAAAAAAAAAAAAAAACACAAAAAATTAAAGACATTTAAAAGCTTATAGATTTTTTATAGATTTTGCTTGTTACATAATTTTGCTTTATAATTGCTAGATTAATATTTAATTCCGTTAGATTTTCTAATGCTACAGGCGAACTTAGACTTTTCCAAGTGCTAAAATTTTTTTAGAGATTATTGTTGTTTTGAGAATTTAACTAAAATTGTCTTCTATTCAATAGACTACCCCATGGTCTAACCCATGCACTACTCCCCAGACTAGCCCATAAGCTTTCAACTTTTTTAAGTTTAAGCCAGTTTATTTCTCCATTTTCAGCCCAACTATGTCCTATTAGGAATTATAGAAGAATTTAAATCCATTTTACTGTTTAATTCTATATAAGTTCTAGTTCAGTTCTAGTTCAGTTCTAGTTCAGTTCTAGTTCAGTTCTAGTTCAGTTCTAGTTCAGTTCTAGTTCAGTTCTAGTTCAGTTCTAGTTCAGTTCTAGTTCAGTTCTAGTTCAGTTCTAGTTCAGTTCTAGTTCAGTTCTAGTTCAGTTCTAGTTCAGTTCTAGTTCAGTTCTAGTTTAGTTCTAGTTCAGTTCTAGTTCAGTTCTAGTTCAGTTCAAGTTTAGTTCTAGTTCAGTTCTAGTTCAGTTCTAGTTCAGTTCTAGTTCAGTTCTAGTTCAGTTCTAGTTCAGTTCTAGTTCAGTTCTAGTTCAGTTCTAGTTCAGTTCTAGTTCAGTTCTAGTTCAGTTCTAGTTCAGTTCTAGTTCAGTTCTAGTTCAGTTCTAGTTCAGTTCTAGTTCAGTTTTAGTTCAGTTCTAGTTCAGTTCTAGTTCAGTTCTAGTTCAGTCTAGTTCAGTTCTAGTTCAGTTCTAGTTCAGTTCTAGTTCAGTTCTAGTTCAGTTCTAGTTCAGTTCTAGTTCAGTTCTAGTTCAGTTCTAGTTCAGTTCTAGTTCAGTTCAGTTTAGTTCTAGTTCAGTTTCTAGTTCAGTTCTAGTTCAGTTCTAGTTCAGTTCTAGTTCAGTTCTAGTTCAGTTCTAGTTCAGTTCTAGTTCAGTTCTAGTTCAGTTCTAGTTCAGTTCTAGTTCAGTTCTAGTTCAGTTCTAGTTCAGTTCTAGTTCAGTTCTAGTTCAGTTCTAGTTCAGTTCTAGTTCAGTTCTAGTTCAGTTCTAGTTCAGTTCTAGTTCAGTTCTAGTTCAGTTCTAGTTCAGTTCTAGTTCAGTTCTAGTTCAGTTCTAGTTCAGTTCTAGTTCAATTCTAGTTCAGTTCTAGTTCAGTTCTAGTTCAGTTCTAGTTCAGTTCTAGTTCAGTTCTAGTTCAGTTCTAGTTCAGTTCTAGTTCAGTTCTAGTTCAGTTCTAGTTCAGTTCTGGTTCAGTTCTAGTTCAGTTCTAGTTCAGTTCTAGTTCAGTTCTGGTTCAGTTCTAGTTCAGTTCTAGTTCAGTTCTAGTTCAGTTCTAGTTCAGTTCAGTTCAGTTCTAGTTCAGTTCTAGTTCAGTTCTAGTTCAGTTCTAGTTCAGTTCTAGTTCAGTTCTAGTTCAGTTCTAGTTCAGTTCTAGTTCAGTTCTAGTTCAGTTCTAGTTCAGTTCTAGTTCAGTTCTAGTTCAGTTCTAGTTCAGTTCTAGTTCAGTTCTAGTTCAGTTCTAGTTCAGTTCTAGTTCAGTTCTAGTTCAGTTCTAGTTCAGTTCTAGTTCAGTTCTAGTTCAGTTCTAGTTCAGTTCTAGTTCAGTTCTAGTTCAGTTCTAGTTCAGTTCTAGTTCAGTTCTAGTTCAGTTCTAGTTCAGTTCTAGTTCAGTTCTAGTTCAGTTCTAGTTCAGTTCTAGTTCAGTTCTAGTTCAGTTCTAGTTCAGTTCTAGTTCAGTTCTAGTTCAGTTCTAGTTCAGTTCTAGTTCAGTTCTAGTTCAGTTCTAGTTCAGTTCTAGTTCAGTTCTAGTTCAGTTCTAGTTCAGTTCTAGTTCAGTTCTAGTTCAGTTCTAGTTCAGTTCTAGTTCAGTTCTAGTTCAGTTCTAGTTCAGTTCTAGTTCAGTTCTAGTTCAGTTCTAGTTCAGTTCTAGTTCAGTTCTAGTTCAGTTCTAGTTCAGTTCTAGTTCAGTTCTAGTTCAGTTCTAGTTCAGTTCTAGTTCATTCTAGTTCAGTTCTTGTTCAGTTCTAGTTCAGTTCTAGTTCAGTTCTAGTTCAGTTTCTAGTTCAGTTCTAGTTCAGTTCTAGTTCAGTTCTAGTTCAGTTCTAGTTCAGTTCTAGTTCAGTTCTAGTTCAGTTCTAGTTCAGTTCTAGTTCAGTTCTAGTTCAGTTCTAGTTCAGTTCTAGTTCAGTTCTAGTTCAGTTCTAGTTCAGTTCTAGTTCAGTTCTAGTTCAGTTCTAGTTCAGTTCTAGTTCAGTTCTAGTTCAGTTCTAGTTCAGTTCTAGTTCAGTTCTAGTTCAGTTCTAGTTCAGTTCTAGTTCAGTTCTAGTTTTCAGTTCAGTTCAGTTCAGTTCTAGTTCAGTTCAGTTCAGTTCTAGTTCAGTTCAGTTCAGTTCAGTTCAGTTCAGTTCTAGTTCTGTTCTAGTTCAGTTTCTAGTTCAGTTCTAGTTCAGTTCTAGTTCAGTTCTAGTTCAGTTCTAGTTCAGTTCTAGTTCAGTTCTAGTTCAGTTCTAGTTCAGTTCAGTTCAGTTCTAGTTCAGTTCTAGTTCAGTTCTAGTTCAGTTCTAGTTCAGTTCTAGTTCAGTTCTAGTTCAGTTCTAGTTCAGTTCTAGTTCAGTTCTAGTTCAGTTCTAGTTCAGTTCTAGTTCAGTTCTAGTTCAGTTCTAGTTCAGTTCTAGTTCAGTTCTAGTTCAGTTCTAGTTCAGTTCTAGTTCAGTTCTAGTTCAGTTCTAGTTCAGTTCTAGTTCAGTTCTAGTTCAGTTCTAGTTCAGTTCTAGTTCAGTTCTAGTTCAGTTCTGTTCAGTTCTAGTTCAGTTCTAGTTCAGTTCTAGTTCAGTTCTAGTTCAGTTCTAGTTCAGTTCTAGTTCAGTTCTAGTTCAGTTCTAGTTCAGTTCTAGTTCAGTTCTAGTTCAGTTCTAGTTCAGTTCTAGTTCAGTTCTAGTTCAGTTCTAGTTCAGTTCTAGTTCAGTTCTAGTTCAGTTCTAGTTCAGTTCTAGTTCAGTTCTAGTTCAGTTCTAGTTCAGTTCTAGTTCAGTTCTAGTTCAGTTCTAGTTCAGTTCTAGTTCAGTTCTAGTTCAGTTCTAGTTCAGTTCTAGTTCAGTTCTAGTTCAGTTCTAGTTCAGTTCTAGTTCAGTTCTAGTTCAGTTCTAGTTCAGTTCTAGTTCAGTTCTAGTTCAGTTCTACAAAATGTTTGGTCCCATAAAAAATTCATGAGAACTACAGAATCTATAAATATTCCCAAAAAAATTAAATTTCTTGGAAGTTAAAGTTAATTTCATGTTTCAGAGGACTTAACTCTTAAGTCCTATTAATTCTTCAACTTTATCAAAGCATTTAGTAAAATGTCAAATAACACGACAATCTAGATAATTATCGTTATTTGTGCAGCTGACATTTAACCATCTTAAATATGAAGTCAAGGGTTCATCCCATTTAGTTCTACACATCAGCGTTAAATTACTTAAATCTCTTTTCAGTTAGTACAACAACAATGACAACATTAATTTAGGATTAAACAAATAAAAACAAATAAATAAATAATCACAAACACAAATAAACAAATTACATTTGATTATTATTTAACTTAATTAAATAAAATGAAAATGATAAAACAATTATTAGTAGATTATTTGTCATTTATACACATACATTGAATAATAATACTAGTAAACAAGCACATTAACACATTGGAATTATTAATATTTTTATTATTTTTTCAAGACTGCACGTCCGAGAGAGCTTCGACTTTATTAAAAATAATTCAAATAAAATATAAAAATTAAAATGAAAAATAATTCAGAAAAATAAAAATTGTTTTTGTGTGGAATTGTTGTTTTGTTTTGAAAAACTTACTCTTAACTTATTTTTATTTTATTTTATTTTATCAATTCAAAAACAATGCTGTAAATATATAATAAAACACCCAGCTCAAAATTAAGAATTTTTCTTTTCAGACACAATGTCCTGATAAAATTTATAAAATTTTTTAAAGATTTTAGTACAAAATTCAAATATCCTTTATTTAACGTTTTTTTTTTCTTTGAAGTGTTTTGTAAATTATAGTTAAATAAATTAGGGGAAAAAACTATACTAATTAGATTATAATGAAATTATATTTGTAATGAAATAATTAATGGTAAATGTATTTTGGTTTCAAGCTATTATTTTGTTTTTAACAATATTTTGGAAAGAGCAGTAAATGTTTACAGGAAAATATTAATTGTAAAAGATATATGGAAAAAATTATTTTAAAAAGATAGAGGAAAAAATGTTGTAAATTGTAAACCCTTGGTAGGTTAAAAATTTTAAATTTAGATTTTTTTTTGCAAAAAAATAAAGACCAATTTAAAGAACTTGCACAACCAAGAATTTATGGAAAATGTTTTATATTTTGTTATTATTTAATTGGAAGAAAAAAAATTGTCAACTACTTTATTAAAAGTATAAAAAAAGTATAAAATTCGGTATTTTAAAACTTACCCCTCTGTTATGAACGAGTAAAAACTGTAAGTGTTATGTTTATAATGTTACAAATTATAATGTTT